CCGCCAGCTTGTTCTGTTTCTCCTGATTAGTTTCTTTGTGTTTCTATGAAAACCACTGCGTGGTTGTGGTGCTCTTCTGTTTTATCTCCAAATCTCACACCACTTTGCCGGTTTTTCCACACAGTGCTTTGAAATTGTCTCACCCTTTTCACTTCTGATTCCTATCAGCGGTGTTCACTGTAATATTTCTCAAGCTACGAAATACAACATTTATCTGTAAAAATTAAGAAAGCCGTTTAAAATGTCCTTCAGTGTAAGAATGAGACTATATGGTCATCTTCTTGAACAGGTAGATATGGTGAATTTTCTGAGAAGTATGGTTTGATAAAAAGTTGACTTTTAATATACAAATTGAGAAACTGATTACAAAGTGCAAAAGAGCATTAAATGTTATGAGATGTCTGGTAGGTTGTGAGTGGGGGGCACATATATTGCTCTATTATATCAGCAGTTGATTATGGTTGTATGGTATATGGAACAACAAGTGATACTCAACTAAAGAAAATGTGTTGTGGGGCTTTACGTACTTCTCCTGTGAATGCTATTCAAGTTGAAATGGGTGAAATGCCAGAAGTGAGAAGGCAACAAATAGCTATGAATGATTGGGTATCTTTATACACCCAACTAAGTCTGTGTTTCATGAGAGTTGGGAACATACCCAAGACAAAATCAAAAGCATAGGCTGGACAGGAGTGGCTCAAATAATGGGTATAGATCAATGAAAATACTCTCAAAGTGTGCCATTACCTGCGTGCCTCCATGGTTATTTTCCTATGCCTTGTATAGATACTCACGTTCGAGAACTAATTAAAGAAAGTAAGGACTCATTTAGTAAATCAATATATAAAACAAAAACACAGTAATATTGTGAATATTTTTACAGATGGTTCAAAGGACCCAGAATCTGGAAAAGTAGGAACAGCGGTATATGTTCCAAAGTACCAGGTAGCTATCAAAAAGAGAATTTCAGATAATTGATTGGTATTTACAGCTGAGCTTGTAGCAATATATTTGGCTCTATACAGTGGGTGGAAGAAGTGAGGCTAGACAAGGTAGTCATTTGCTCTGACTCTTTAGCAGCTCTAAAAAGTCTGAAATATGGACTTTCTAACTGTAGACAGGATATAATATATGAATTATTGCAGTTAGTGTACATACTGCATAATCAAGGAATTAACATCCATTTTCTTTGGATTCCTGCTCACGTAGGAATAGAAGGAAATGAGATAGTGGATAAACTGGGATAAACTTTAATGAGCAAAAAGCTCATTAAAATGCAAACAGAGAAGTGGTCCAAGTACTGAGCCCTGAGGCACCCCAGTAGCTAGATGTTGCAACTTGGCTCTCTCCGAAGGACCTATCTGAGAGGTAAGACTCAAACCACTGGTGTGCGGTTCCTGAGATGCCATTTTCCAATAGGGTTAACAGGAGAATCTGGTAGTTCACCGTATCAAAAGCAGCAGACAGATCCAGCAAAATAAGTATAGAAGATTTGGAAGCCGCTCTTGCCAGTCTTAGGGCTTTAACAACTGAAAGCAAGGCAGTCTCGGTCGGTCTACTTATATTTAGACTATTGTAGCCTGGTCGGGTCGTCACCGCTGCGGAGTAACACATACCTGCGTGAATCGCCATAGACATAAACTTAGAGAAGTAGCTCCGGCTGTTCTGTTTATTAACCGCTAGAGCGCCAAAAGTAAAAAAAAAAAGCTTTAATGTAGCACCGGAAAATATTTCAGTCCGCCAGCTTGTTCTGTTTCTCCTGATTAGTTTCTTTGTGTTTCTATGAAAACCACTGCGTGGTTGTGGTGCTCTTCTGTTTTATCTCCAAATCTCACACCACTTTGCCGGTTTTTCCACACAGTGCTTTGAAATTGTCTCACCCTTTTCACTTCTGATTCCTATCAGCGGTGTTCACTGTAATATTTCTCAAGCTACGAAATACAACATTTATCTGTAAAAATTAAGAAAGCCGTTTAAAATGTCCTTCAGTGTAAGAATGAGACTATATGGTCATCTTCTTGAACAGGTAGATATGGTGAATTTTCTGAGAAGTATGGTTTGATAAAAAGTTGACTTTTAATATACAAATTGAGAAACTGATTACAAAGTGCAAAAGAGCATTAAATGTTATGAGATGTCTGGTAGGTTGTGAGTGGGGGGCACATATATTGCTCTATTATATCAGCAGTTGATTATGGTTGTATGGTATATGGAACAACAAGTGATACTCAACTAAAGAAAATGTGTTGTGGGGCTTTACGTACTTCTCCTGTGAATGCTATTCAAGTTGAAATGGGTGAAATGCCAGAAGTGAGAAGGCAACAAATAGCTATGAATGATTGGGTATCTTTATACACCCAACTAAGTCTGTGTTTCATGAGAGTTGGGAACATACCCAAGACAAAATCAAAAGCATAGGCTGGACAGGAGTGGCTCAAATAATGGGTATAGATCAATGAAAATACTCTCAAAGTGTGCCATTACCTGCGTGCCTCCATGGTTATTTTCCTATGCCTTGTATAGATACTCACGTTCGAGAACTAATTAAAGAAAGTAAGGACTCATTTAGTAAATCAATATATAAAACAAAAACACAGTAATATTGTGAATATTTTTACAGATGGTTCAAAGGACCCAGAATCTGGAAAAGTAGGAACAGCGGTATATGTTCCAAAGTACCAGGTAGCTATCAAAAAGAGAATTTCAGATAATTGATTGGTATTTACAGCTGAGCTTGTAGCAATATATTTGGCTCTATACAGTGGGTGGAAGAAGTGAGGCTAGACAAGGTAGTCATTTGCTCTGACTCTTTAGCAGCTCTAAAAAGTCTGAAATATGGACTTTCTAACTGTAGACAGGATATAATATATGAATTATTGCAGTTAGTGTACATACTGCATAATCAAGTAATTAACATCCATTTTCTTTGGATTCCTGCTCACGTAGGAATAGAAGGAAATGAGATAGTGGATAAACTAGCAAAAAGCTCATTAAAATGCAGCCATGTTGAAATTACAATTCCCATGAGCAAGTCTGAAACTTATTAGAAAAGCTACAAATAATCTATGGGAGCAAATGCGGGACAGAGGAACAAAGGGAAGCCATTTATATAGATTTCAAGGAAATGTGGGTTGTTTGATATTTATCGTATATATTACGTTAAGCATTTATCTGCTAAGTACTTAATGTGTGCTTGGCTTTATTATCTTATATTGAAACGTGAATTTGTTGTCATACTTTATAGTATATAACTTTCAATTAATTTTCGGATGCATGGTGTAAATGGGCCTTGTGGTGAAGTTTTGAAGACGTTTATTATTCACGACTGACACCAAATGCCTTGCACATTCAAGTTACAAATGACTGCGCTTGTTCTTACGGTTAAAAATAAGGTTGGTAGAATAAAGGAGATACTGTTGTCAAATTAGCTAGGTTTGCCTCTCCAACGAGATATATCCAGCTGCAGACCCGCAGCACCAGCAGTTTCAGAACCGCAGCCACAGACCCGCAGCACCAGCAGTTTCAGAACCGCAGCCACAGAACCGGAAGTGAGAGGAGGAGTCATTGACAACGAGAGAGAAGGTGAGTATTCTGTAATGTTTTTGCTATCGTATGTTTGATAGTTATCGTATATATTACGTTAAGCATTTATCTGCTAAGTACTTAATGTGTGCTTGGCTTATATATCTATCTATCTATATACACACATTAATAAGAAATATTAAAGTTACATTTTCCTTTAATATTCTGTAATGAAGGAGATCCCAGTAATCTCACAGAAGTTGTGAAATGGCTCCATTAAACAGACATCTGCTCAGGGGGCCAGTGGAAGAGCCTCTTTTCCTTATAATGGAGGAAGAGGACGAGGAAAAGGCCCTCAACAATCTCCTGGAACAGAAGTTTCCAGAGTGCCCTTCATATTGCATCTTGTGTTCAGGGGAGTTATTTTTGTAGGGTTGTCATAGCAAAATGGGCCTAAGAGTGAATTGTTCATTTGATACATTTTAATTTGAATTCATGCAAGATTGTCACGGCAAAATGTGCCCAAGAGTGAATCGTTCATTTTGTAAGTTTTCATGCAGGATTGTCCTGACAAAATGGGCTTAATGGTGAATTGTTACTTTTATAAACTTCAATTTAATTTATTGTGTACATTTTGATTGTTACTTTTAAAATGATGCTGCTGTTTGTGTGTGTGTGTGTGTGTGTGTTTTATTGAAATGTTTTAGTTTTCATATATAAAAATGTATGATGCACGTGTTCTTGACTTTGGCGTAAACATTTATTTAGAATCTTGTGATTAAAGTATATTTCATATAACATGCCCAGAAGTTTCAAACATTATTTTTAATATCACAAACAGGAAATTACTCGCATAATACAATGAAACGAATAACTGTATAGGTCTACACCTAAATTACACAAGATTCATGTTTATAAAATGCTTAATATGTCATTATAAAATGCATACATAAAGTATGACGGATCGTGTGTACTAAAAGCAAATGACCTCTTAAAAACCCTAAGGTGGCGCTACTCTGTTCAAAAATGTAAGCTCCTCCCCTCACTTCCGGTTCTGTGGCTGTGGTTCTGAAACTGCTGGTCTGCAGCTGGATACTATTGTCTCCAACGGGCATTTTGTTTTGTCTCGGTCAACCTTAAAGTCACATTTTGATAAGCATTAAAATTCTTCTTCTTAATGTTTAACGGCGGTTGGCATCCAGCGTAATTGGTGCATTCCCGCCACCAGCTTGACCAGAGGGACATCACTTCCGGTTCATGCATTACTAATTACTAGCCGCCAGGTTGCGGTCTAACGTTACAGTATTCAACGCACTGTTGTACCGTGTTTGTAAAAACAGTAGGCCAGTTTAGCACTATATTGGATACGTTGCAACAATTCTATCGTAATATGCAATTCGAACATATTATATCTACCTGCCTCGTCTTACGTTTTTAACCATTTATTTATAAATACATAAAGATTAGTTGCTGTATGATTTTCATTCGTATGCTAAATTCGGAATAGACTTTCTACTGCTACTGCTAGAAATCGAAGTCAGGCTACTTTTCGTTCCCTTTCGCCTTTTTTGAACCACTTTTCTGCTTTTAAAGCGTGATTACAGCCCGACCAAATAACTTTCATTGCTTTTCATTGGTCGGACTGAGTGAACGAGCACGCCCCCATCACCGAACGAGTCATTGTTTTGACTCAGAAGGAGACCGAGCAAGAGCTCCTGAGTGCTGAGTGCTGAGTGCTGAGTGCTGGCCGGCGACACGACACGCTGTTCGTCTGGTGATTTAGTAAGCATCGTTCACAACAACGCAAAGGAAGCGGGAGAATTGAAGTGATACTCAAACTTTTTTCAAGATCTCATACAGCTATAACGAAAAATTACGTTTCGGTTGTGAATGACTCGGTTTTTAGCGATTCGGTTGAGTAAATTGAAGCCTCTACTTAAACACGCACTGGTCGCCATCTACTGGAGGAACGATGCAATTCACAAATCCGTGAACAAATCCGTTTTGCGATTCGAGTCACTAGGATCAATCCAGTTTCCCACCAGTGACCCAGTGTGCCCACGCTGCAGAACAGCAGAACGCCTTTGGATTCAAACGCGATCGACTCCCTCCTAAATTAGGTCAACCCGACCAATCTGAGGATCCACTGACCTCGCGGCATCGCCAGAGGGAGGTCCGATTACCGATTAAAACACCAAACGGGACAGGGTGGTGGTAAGTAACGTTAGTATCACATGTAATGGATTTTAACCTCTGGACATCCGAATAGTTGGTGTAACGTTAGTTGCTTCACTTGATAGAATTTTTAAAGAACAAAAGCAAGGCTTCAGTAGGACAACCACACGAACCCAAGTGCTTAGTGAAGCTTTCATATATAACTTCGGTTAAAAGGTTGCAAGCGGCATTCGAGTTTGTTTTTAAAATACATTTATCACGTTACATTAACAAATACACATACCGTTGACGATATAATCTTCTTTTTGCCAAAGTATGTGGCTCACATAATAAACAATATATGTTTACATATTACTCAAGGAAAAACTTTCACTATATATCTCGTCTAAGAAAGATACTTAAAAATTGATTTCTAGCTGCCTTAACGCAGTGTTTGAACGTATAACATGATAAATAAACAGTTGTTTACATACAGCAGTCATTTTAGCAGAACGTTGTATCACCGAACAGTAACACATTTGACGCGACGTGATCTTCCGCCTCTGTTTCCCGCGCAGTCTGTGTCCCTCCGCGCAGTGGAATGTGCTGGGAGGCCGCTCGCGCTTCATTGGCTTCTGCTGCTGTTTCCTCACTTTAAGATGTCGCGGCAAATGGAGGGTCCGCGTTATGTTCTTTAACCGATTACTTTAGATTTAATAAGTCGTCTTCATCTGGGAGGATTTTCTGTCGAGGAGAAAATGTTTGTTAAATGTCCTTTTAAACAGTTTTTTTTAATGGTTTGAATGAACAAACCCACATTTAGCGCATATAACTTAGTGGTCTGCGGGTACATTAAAATGTTACTTATTACTATGTAGACTCAAATGTTGTATTAATGATGTTGAAGTTATTGCATACTTAATACTGTCTCTATGTGTGCATCATTGTTAGGGCACTTATCTGTAAACAATTATATTGTCAACGTTTTCAGAGTGTCTCCACAGGTTTTCAGATTACAATGTCTCCACAGGTTATGAAAAAATGGTGGTGAAAGTGAAGATTGGAGATGAGAAACACAATCTCAGTGAGCTGCTGGACTGGCTCAATGACATCCTGCAAGCCACTTTCAGCCAAGTGGAGTACACCTGCTCTGGTATTTTTGTTACCTGGTTAATTAAAAATGTTGAATGTTAGATATTTTTTCGCTAACACTTTTATGGCGTGTTTTTCTAGGTGCCGCCTTTTGTCAGTTGATGGACATCATTCACCCTGGATCTGTTGACGTAAATAAAGTGAAGTTCACAGCAAAAGAGAATGCAGACATCTTGGATAATTACAATCTGCTACAGGACGCTTTCAACAAGGCACAAATCAAGAGAGTGAGCAAATTAAATAACAAAATCGCTTTTGAAAATGTTTGAAGCAATAGATTAAAATTCAAATTATGTTGGTAAATGAATGCATCATATAAAATGTGTTTTATTTATATGGCTATGCAGTGATCAACATGCAGTATTGTTAACAATGCATGTTTTTGTTTGAAGCAATAGATTAAAATTCAAATTATGTTGGTAAATGAATGCATCATAAAATGTGTTTTATTTATATGGCTATGCAGTGATCAACATGCAGTATTGTTAACAATGCATGTTTTCCCCCCCCCTCTTTTTTTATAGGAACTAGAACTGAAATTGTTGGTGAATGGAGACACCTTGAAAATATTGGATTTGCTTTCGTGGTTCAAAGATCTTTATGATCACAATGTTGCACAGCAGAAATATAACACTCAGGAGGGTTTTGTTGAACGGGAAGTGGTGTCATTGAAATCAAGAAGAGAATTTGAAATCTGTAAGTGTTTACACTTTGAGTTTTTATTATTGATATTGGGACTTATGTAATTTTTATGATCCCCCCCCTCTTTTTATTGATAGCTAAGAAGGAAGAACAATCTTCAAGACTCTACAGTCCTGTACAGACAAAATATCTAAACCAGAATTTTAAGAAGGGATCACATGAGTCTTCCTTTCGAAATCTGGCCACAATGTCTTTCATCAGAAAGTATGGCTCACCTGATGCTGGATCAAAATTTGCCAGCAGCAAGGATAGTCTAGTATTAGGCCAGAAATGTCAGGAAGACATTACAGCCTTCTTCATTCAGACTCCATACTGCCTTTATTTATTCAATGGAGTTGCGCTTCAGGACGAGAACAAGGCCAATGTTCTGCTGTTGGGCTTTTTTGACAAAGCTACTGGTGAAAACAAATTCAGATTGCTTGATGTTCTTCATCCAGAGGAAGAGACTGCTGATGCCATCTGTAGAAGCATTGTGGAGATGCTGAAGAAGTTTACAATACCTCTAATGAACATGGCGATATTTTATTCAAATTTCCCAGATCACGAAGATCTTCTCTCGGGTCTAAAGTTGCTGAAACCTGAGATTGTGTCTTTATGTGGACTTACAGATATGGCAGGACAAGTGTGTCACAGTGGTGTTGAGAAAATGGAGATTTCTGGCCCGATTGTGAATCTCATCACAGAGATCTACAAGCACTTTCCATCTTTTCCAGATTCTCTACAAACTTTGCTTGAAGATGTTGATTGTTCGAACTTCAGTAATATCCTGACGTCCCAATGCTCTCTCTTCTGTAGAATCATCCAGAAAATGACTTTAGCTTGGTCAGACCTTGAGAAATACTTTGGATCTCTGGATGCAGATGAAAAAGTGATCTGCCGTCGTCTTAGTGATCCCAAAATAAGACTCAACGTCCTATTTCTTAGCCACGCTTTGCAACCGCTTTGCGATTTTCAGGAGAATATTGACCGAGGTGTCAGCGTGACACAGCTCCTCCAAGATGCTTCTCAATTAGTGAGATTCTACACGGCGAGTTTCCTCAGACCAAAAGCAGCAGAGTTTTTTCTCAGAAGAGGGAAGACCTCGCTTATACAGGAAACAGTAGGACATTTACCTAGAGGAGAGGTTGAAGTTGGCAAACAGGCTGCTGACTTTCTCCTGCAATGCTCTGAAGAGTTGACTGACTACTTGGAGACATTCCACAGTTCTGTCATCTCCTTCTACACGACTGTGACTGTTAATATTGTTGAATGTTTACCCTTCTCAGATTCCACCATGAGAAACTTGTCATTAGTGTTGTGTCCAGGAAAAAAGCTTGAAGTGACTGGCAAAATAGTTCAAGATTTAGGTGCCTGTTTTGGGGTTTGCTCAAGCCCTGAGAATGTCAGCTTACTCACAGATGAGTTTTTGGAGTACCAGTTCATTGATGGAGCTGACACACACCCAGCCGACCAGTCAATGGAGGAGTACTGGAAGACTGAGCTGAGAATTATGGGAAGGACATCAAGTTTTGGGAAATTAATCGTTAGCTTGTTGGCTTTGCCCAGAACATTGAAAAAAGAGATCATTTTTGAACAGGTGAGTCACTGAAGTATGAAGAGCTTCAGAAACCAAAATGTCATGTGTCTGTGACAAGATATAATTTCTCCCTTATAATGTGACGGTGGTTATGAAAATTAATTTAGTTTGTATTAAGGGACCCTTGATTATGTTTAAAATGTCGAGAGCATCTTACATCCATAGCAATGCACGGTCAACCTTCTAGAACATCCTAACATGACATTTTGGGGTTTGCTCAAGCCCTGAGAATGTCAGCTTACTCACAGATGAGTTTTTGGAGTACCAGTTCATTGATGGAGCTGACACACACCCAGCCGACCAGTCAATGGAGGAGTACTGGAAGACTGAGCTGAGAATTATGGGAAGGACATCAAGTTTTGGGAAATTAATCGTTAGCTTGTTGGCTTTGCCCAGAACATTGAAAAAAGAGATCATTTTTGAACAGGTGAGTCACTGAAGTATGAAGAGCTTCAGAAACCAAAATTTCATGTGTCTGTGACAAGATATAATTTCTCCCTTATAATGTGACGGTGGTTATGAAAATTAATTTAGTTTGTATTAAGGGACCCTTGATTATGTTTAAAATGTCGAGAGCATCTTACATCCATAGCAATGCACGGTCAACCTTCTAGAACATCCTAACATGACCTAATTATATATATATATATATATATTATTTTTTTTTCTCTTCCTTAGACAAGATTCATATGCCTCGATCCGTGAATAGGAACATGGAAAACCACAAAGACCCTAAAGGAAAGTTATTTAAATTAACTGTCTCTCTCAGCAAACTCCCTGAATCCCTGGACCTGCACAATGGCTTGATAGACCTTGGGACAACAGAAGTTTATAGGAAACGCATGGATTCAAAATGGAATCAGAGATCCTGGCAGACTGTGAAGACCCGTAGAAAACAAAAATACACACAGCGGAATAAGCATCAAAAGATTACCCCAAGCGTACATATCGAGTCCAGACAGAACAGCCAAAAAAGACGTATGTACATCATTAATATTTATTGTTGCTGTTAAAATTGTGATGGCAAAGCAAGAAAAAAATCTGGTGTTTATTGAAATGTTTTGACAGATCAAATGGTGCATGAATTTCTGGAAAACAAGAGAAACATAGAAGGTCAGAAACCCTTTCATAAACATTGCAGCAACTGTTGATAATGAGTGAAGTTCATCCTAACTTTATTTCTCCTCAAGAGTTTTGCTTATCATGTGGGAGTACACCTGTCGAAATCATCCACCCACTCTTTGAAGGAAGGCTGTGTTCAAACTGCAAGGTACTAAATATAGTTACACAGCTGTAGTTCTCTCCTCACATGGGTTTTGGCTATATATACTAATTATACTAAAAATACTATTACTAAATGTTGCATAAAATCATGTATACAGTCATACAGTACAATACAATCCTTCAGTGATGTGTCCGTTTATCACATGTAGTATAATTTCACGGAGACGCTGTACAGATATGATGAAGATGGCTATCAGTCGTACTGCACCGTTTGCTGTTCAGGCATGGAGGTCATTCTATGTGGTCATGACAGCTGTTGTCGGTGAGTGTTTATGATATTGGTGATACAATGTCATGGGTTTGATTCCCAGGGAAAGCAAAAATCTGATAAACATCTGTAGCTTGAATGCAATGTAAGTGTAGTATTTGCACTGAACCCCACTCTGTATAGTTAAATTATTTGGTCTTCACTTCTCTAGATCCTACTGTGTGGACTGTCTGGATATCCTAGTGGGTGAGGGGACATTTAACCAGCTGAAAAATGTGGATCCATGGACCTGTTACCTTTGTGCACCCGAGAGCAGCTCTGGAGCTTTGAAGCCCAGGCATGACTGGAGCATCCGTGTGCAGGAATTCTTTGCCAACAACAGCGCCATGGAATTTGTTAGTCATCTTATACAAAAAAATTGGATGATCTTCCTGATTTGTATTTGTATAGGTTCCAACACTGACATTTGTCCTCTTCAGGAGCCCCACCGTGTTTACCCATCAATCCCTGCTAACCAGCGACGTCCAATCAGAGTGCTTTCCTTATTTGATGGTATAGCCACAGGTAAAACTTCCTGTATTCTTCACCACTTGTAATGTAATTCACACTTATTATAGTCTGTTCTTGTACTTGTTATGTGGCTTATTTACATACATTTTTATGTTTCAGGATACCTTGTTCTGAGGGATCTTGGCTTTAAAGTGGAAAAATATGTGGCCTCAGAAGTTGATGAAGAATCCATCACCATTTCTATGGTTAACCATGATGGAAAAATCACTCATGTTGATGATGTTAAGAACATTACGAAAAAGCATGTATGGTTACAAAAAAATTTCTCCTTGTTTTTTTTCCCCTTGTCTTTAAAGTGTTAGTTTACCCCAAAATGAAAATTCTATCATTTACTCACCCTCGTGTCATTCCAAAGCCACAAGACTTTTGGTAATAAAATATTTATGAAATCTGAGAGATTTCTGTTCCTCTAATGACAGTCTCTTCACCCTAAATTCTGATGCTTCAAGATGTTTGAAAATAAATCCATATGAATGAAAAAGTCCCAGTCTTCTGAAGAGAGACAACCACTTTATTTGATGAACAGATTTAGGCTTTTATTCACATATAAGCATTGATCAGTGAACGGAAATAGAAGCTCAACTATTCCTGCTTGACTAGTGAGACCAAACCTCACTGGTTCTTGTGGAAGTTCAAACATGCTGGCATGACCCGCAAGAAAGAACCTCATTTGATTTGAATGCTGTAAACATTCATATGGATTTATTTTTTGATCTGTTTGGAAGCGTCAGAGTTTTGGGTGAATAGACTTTTAGTAGCGGGACAGAAATCTGAGATTTGATTAAAATGTTTTTAATTTTAAAAAACTCTATACTTATTGAGATAATTACACATCTGAAGAAGACTCCTCAGCAGTCTGCCCATTAAATTTATTCTCTGTCTTTGTTCAGATTGACAAATGGGGCCCGTTTGATCTTCTCATTGGTGGAAGTCCTTGTAATGACTTGTCCATAGTCAATCCTGCTCGGAAAGGCTTGTATGGTAAGTCAAGATTTAAAGTTTGGTTAAACATGCTACTGCTGAGCAGGCTCAGTGCTTGGTCTCATGTCAAAACCGGTAAGAGTTAGCATCATTCATTGCATCTGAGAACCTCTTTACTCTCTGCAGAGGGCACAGGGAGGCTCTTTTTTGAATATTATCGACTTCTGAATGTTATGAAACCGAAGGAAGATGACCCACAACCGTTCTTCTGGCTGTTTGAGAACGTGGTGTTCATGCAAACCCAGGTTAAAGCTGACATTTGCCGCTTTCTGGAAGTGAGTGTTCTTCTTGTTGGATAGAATTCTCATAAATACTCTAAGCAGTTTATTGTAAATTTAAAAAGCTCTTATATTCTATTTAATTGTTCTTGAATCATAGCCTCCCATTTTAAAGGGGTCATGAACTGCCTTTGTTTTTTTTTATTTTGTACTGTTCTCTCAGATCCACTTATATTGTTATCAAGATTTTTACATCAAAATTTAGAAGTAACAGGCTGTTTTCTGTCCTGTTTTTGACCCCCCCTCATCAGAACGTTCTGTTTGAATAGGTGTGGCGGATTGTAGATTCGGAAGTAAACGCCCACTGCTATGATTGGCTAACAGTTGTGTGTGTTTGATAGCATACATTAATTCCTCACAGATGGATGCTGCTGTGATATAGATCAAAAACGCATAAATAATACATATCAAACAATGTAATAGTGACCACTTAATGAAAACAGTTACTCACACTTGTGTTGTGACATTACTGACTACGGATCCAATATAGTCGGCACAGCATCCTCTTTTAGTTTCCTTCTTTTTGAAAATCCTGCTTCAAAATTGTCTTGTTTGTAAATGAATCTGTGGTAAAATGAAGTGAACAAAAGACAAAGTTTTTACTGACGTGATCTGGATCTTCATTAAAAATAGATATTTCACTTTTTCCTAATATTGACATCAGAAGGATGGCAACGCAAACACTGTTTTTCCACAACTTGGCACTGCACAGCATCTTGTTGTCTTCAGAGTATGTTTTTCGTTTGGTTTCTGCGTAGACCTGCACGATTGTCTCTCTTGTAAACACTACGCGTGCTAATCGGTTTGCAGGGCTTAACAGACAGTGATGATCTTCTTCTGCGGAGGCGGTGCTCATCCACACTAATGCATCATAGAGTAGAACATTCCAAAAGCTGTCAGTTTGGCAGACTGCCTTCAATATAAGCTGTTTTTAGACTAACGACAAAGTTTTGAGTTCTGAAACTTACAGGATGTATTTATAGTACAATGACCTCTTATTGTCAAAAGATCAAGGTAATTTTGTTTTCTCAGTTCATGACCCCTTTAAAAGAATACTTAGTCTTGTGGTGTAGTAAGCCTGTGTGTGTGTGTGTGTGTGTGTTTTAGTGTAACCCTGTGCTTGTTGATGCTGTGAAAGTGAGTCCAGCTAACAGAGCAAGATACTTCTGGGGGAACATACCTGGCATGAACAGGTGTGTCAGTTAAATTCATATGAATAACACACCCGCTTTTTTTTTTTACTTGTAAAATGCACTGAACTGTGTAAACTAAAGTAAATAAATATATTATACATTGTCCATTTTATTCTGTTTTGAGCAGGCCAATCAGAGCATCTCAGAATGATAAACTCGCTCTTCAGGAATGTCTGGAGCCTGGCCGCACTGCAAAGGTTTGTCATGAGCTTCTAACCAAAGATATGCAGTTTATAGTTATTGTAATGATATCACTAGTGATGAGTTCTGAAGCTGTTATGTGCCGTTTTGTAGTATGAAAAAGTTCGCACTATCACCACACGGTCAAACTCACTGAAGCAGGGCACCAATGACGCCCATTTCCCCATCACCATGAATGGAAAAGATGACAGTATATGGATCACAGAAATGGAGAAGTAAGTTTTAGTTCTACACTTCGCTATAAATCAAAATTTAAATACAAGTATGTATTTTATTTATGCTGATTCTGACACTTTCACAGAATATTTGGATTTCCGAAGCATTACACAGATGTGAAAAATCTGGGGCGTATGCAGAGGCAAAGAGTGCTGGGGAAGTCCTGGAGCGTCCCTGTCATAAGACATCTTCTAGCACCTCTGAAGGATTACTTTGCTTGTGATGAGGTCCCCTTCAAATGAACTGACATTGATGATTTTAATCTTTTTCTGTCAGTGTGAAAAGACTCGGGACGTGAGAATTTGTTGCTTTTAATTGTTTTACCTTTTTTAAAACTAAAATGGTAGGACTAACTGAAGAATTGTTTAGGGAAATGGATGCTGGGAAACTGAAGAAGGTTGATTACATTTTATTGAATGTTCCGTCAAATCACGTCAATTTTTCAGAGGCAAAGAGTGCTGGGGAAGTCCTGGAGCGTCCCTGTCATAAGACATCTTCTAGCACCTCTGAAGGATTACTTTGCTTGTGATGAGGTCCCCTTCAAATGAACTAACATTGATGATTTTAATCTTTTTCTGTCAGTGTGAAAAGACTCGGGACATGAGAATTTGTTGCTTTTAATTGTTTTACCTTTTTTAAAACTAAAATGGTAGGACTAACTGAAGAATTGTTTAGGAAAATGGATGCTGGGAAACTGAAGAAGGTTGATTACATTTTATTGAATGTTCCGTCAAATCACGTCAATTTTAAAAAATGTAATTTTCAGAATTTGCAATCACGTTTAGCTACAAATGGAGTAACAAATTTGATGTGGGATTGAGCAAAATGAATAAACGTGTTCAGTGCTCTGAATTACTACTACTTTTGTGTTTATTAGCGGTTGGGAAACCAGCTTACGGTGCATTTCCGCCACCTACTGGGATGGAGTGTGAGGCCGCGAACGAAAATATTACATACTATAAAAAAAAATAAAATCAATTGTTCTAATCAAATCTGTATCTCTCAAATATTTTATTAGAAAATCATAAACCCTTAACATTCTGTGCATTCTGAAATATACTCTTAACTGAAATGTCATTGATTTCCATATCAAGTTTTTCAATAATCTGAAGCATTGTCACTCAGTGGCATTTATGTCCTGAGCCCTGGTGATTTTTTTTTTTTTACCCTGATAATTATTATTGTACAATGCAATAACTAAAGTGTTTTTTTTAATCTAAGTTACATTTACTATAATAAGTTATTATTTAGATATTCAGAGTGTTCAGATAATTTTAGTATTTAAAAGCCTTGAACGAGTTACTAACCGGTACCAAATTAAACGAGAATCAAAACGACTTTTATTTTGAAACGCAAAGACAGAAGCGTATTTTGGATGGACAGTCATGGCAAAGTCTTTCAGTGTGTAAGTAGACATTTAGTCCTATTTTACAATATTAAGAAGAGAAGTAAGGAAAAACAGTATGTGTTAAGTGTTAACATAAGTGTCCTATGTGGAGGAACGGTCGCTGTTGGAAGGCCGCTTTCGCTTCATTTGCAGCAGCATCCGTTTCCTCGGTTTCAAGTTTTCGCGGTAAATTGATGAGGAGCTGTGTGGATATGCACAGTACGCATTCTCAAAATATTCTTATCTTCTAAGTGTGACTATTGAATTGTAGACGTACCAGTTGTAAAGACGTCTTCATTTGAGAGGGCCGCGTTCTAAAAGAGAACATCTTTTCGGTTTGTTACTATTCCTTTTAGCATTTGATGTGGTGTGCGGGTTAACATTTTCATAATTCCCGCACATTACGCACTGCCTGACAATAGTGCAACGTTATACAGCGCTAGTTAATGTAAGGTCAAAGTGCAAAATCGTGAAAAGGCCAGATGTCCAACGTTAGAGCCTAGCTGAATATCGTAAAATAGGGTTCAGTGTAGTGAGAAGCTCAACAATCAAAATGCATGCAGTTTTAACATGCATGCTGTCTTTCTCCTGTCGTCCACAGAATACTTATCATTTAAAAATAACTACGTTAATTACTCTTAACCGGCTTACTAACATGAGTTTATCGATGTCTTTATTAAATGACTACTTAAATGTATGGGACTAAATATGTGTTTGTGATTTCAGAGATATTTTACACGGCTTAGTTGTAGAATCCAGATCATATTTTGCAGACTTACAATTCATACAATTTGTCTGCAGGCTATGGAAAAGTGTGGATGAATGTAAATATGAAAGCATCTCAGTGAGCCGTTGGATTGGCTTAGTGACACAGACAAGTGGAGCTCACCTGCTCAGGTATTTTTATTTCCCAGCCAATCAAAACACTTCTTGAATTGGGTATATCAGTCATGTTGTCACTGATGTCAAATTATTTGTGTGAAGTTGGTTATGAAAGTTAAAAGATCTTCCCCAAACATTCAAAAATAGACACCTTTCATCTTAAATATGAAAGTCTACATGGTGTGTTTTCCCAGGTTCAGTCTGATGTGATTCCCCTTTGCATATGTTTATATAATTAAGACACTTTTGAGTTTTTATATATTTATATTATTGATTTATAGTGCAGTGTTTTTTATAATAATTATGATATGCAGTGATCAATATTATTTTTTAACCCCTGTACTCTTTTTATAGGAACTGGAGCAGACATTGTTGGTGAATGGTAACATCCTGATAACATTCGATTTGTTTATGATATTAGAGCTTGAAATGCGTAGGTGTTTACTTGGCGTCTATATTTGTTGATTAAGCATATTGAAATATGGTCATTGGTCTTGTAAACATAATGCCATTTTTATGACTCTTTGTCATTCTTTATTTATAGCTAAGAAGAGGAGACGTTCATCAAGGCTCAAACAGCCAAAGTATCCAAACCAGAACATGAAAAATGCTAAAAAGAAATCAGATAATTCTTTCTCCTGCAATCCAGCCACAATGTCTTTCATCAGAAAGTATGGCTCACCTGATGCTGGATCAAACTTCGCCAGTGGCAAGGATAGTCTAGTATTAGGCCAGAAATACTGGGAAGACATTACAGCCTTCTGCAGTCAGACTCCATACTGCCTTTATTTATACCATGGAGTGGAGATTGAGGACAAGGAGGCCAGTGTGGTCTTGTTGGGCTTTTTTGACAAAGTCGCTGGAGAAACCAAGATCAGATTGCTTGATGTTCTTCATCCAGAGGAAGAGACTGCTGATGCCATCTGTACATGCATTGTGGAGATGCTGAAGAAGTTTACAATACCTCTAATGAACATGGCGATATTTTATTCAAATTTCCCAGATCATGAAGATCTTCTCTCAGGTCTGAAGTTGCTGAAACCTGAGATTGTGTCTTTATGTGGACTTACAGATATGGCAGGACAAGTGTGTCACAGTGGTGTTGAGAAAATGGAGATTTCTGGCCCGATTGTGAATCTCATCACAGAGATCTACAAGCACTTTCCATCTTTTCCAGATTCTCTACAAACTTTGCTTGAAGATGTTGATTGTTCGAACTTCAGTAATATCCTGACGTCCCAATGCTCTCTCTTCTGTAGAATCATCCAGAAAATGACTTTAGCTTGGTCAGACCTTGAGAAATACTTTGGATCTCTGGATGCAGATGAAAAAGTGATCTGCCGTCGTCTTAGTGATCCCAAAATAAGACTCAACGTCCTATTTCTTAGCCACGCTTTGCAACCGCTTTGCGATTTTCAGGAGAATATTGACCAAGGTGTCAGCATGACACAGCTCCTCCAAGATGCTTCTCAATTAGTGAGATTCTACACGGCGAGTTTCCTCAGACAAAAAACAGCAGAACTTTTCCATAGGAGAGGGAAGACCTCGCTTATACAGGAAACAGTAGGACATTTACCTAGAGGAGAGGTTGAAGTTGGCAAACAGGCTGCTGACTTTCTCCTGCAATGCTCTGAAGAGTTGACTGACTACTTGGAGACATTCCACAGTTCTGTCATCTCCTTCTACACGACTGTGACTGTTAATATTGTTGAATGTTTACCCTTCTCAGATTCCACCATGAGAAACTTGTCATTAGTGTTGTGTCCAGGAAAAAAGCTTGAAGTGACTGGCAAAATAGTTCAAGATTTAGGTGCCTGTTTTGGGATTTGCTCAAGCTCTGAGAATGTCAGCTTACTCACAGATGAGTTTTTGGAGTACCAGTTCATTGATGGAGCTGACACACACCCAGCCGACCAGTCAATGGAGGAGTACTGGAAGACTGAGCTGAGAATTATGGGAAGGACATCAAGTTTTGGGAAATTAATCGTTAGCTTGTTGGCTTTGCCCAGAACATTGAAAAAAGAGATCATTTTTGAACAGGTGAGTCACTGAAGTATAAAAAATATAATTTATCAGATGTCTGTGTGACAAAATCTGATTTCTCCAACCACTTTTAATATAAAGTATTTAAAATGTATTTAGTTTTATTAGGGTTAGGGTTAAATTGTGATAAGTAAAGTGTCCTAGAACACTTATTAGTCTGAGAAACTATGCTTGACTTCCTTTAAATGCTTGTAAAGTTAACTTATTCAGAATCTTTAGTGGTGTTTGCTGAGGCAAGAGTTTTATCTGGCATACACAAATGGGTGGAGAAAAAAATCTACTAATGGAAGTATTCATATCTGTGGACCAGAATATTGTGAGCTTGAGCTATTTTGACATGGACCAGTAAGGAACTAACTAGCAGTGACCTAGCAAATGGATAGCAACATGCTAACAATCACCCAGACCACTTTGAACAAGCTTTACATAAACAAAAAGTTTGGTTCTTATATTTGTGTGTGGCTGTCTGTATCTCAGGTGTTCCCACAAACTGACTCAGATCTCAATGAGAGGAAAATGGAGGACTTTGAGGAGAAGGACATGGCTGAGGATGATGCTACAGACAGCAGCTCATATAAAAGTGCTCCATCACATCTCAGCCCAGAGACTCAAGGGAGCATCACATGCGGTAATGACACACTGGTTGTTGTAGCGACCTTTAAAGCTGAAAGACATGTTAGATCATTGGAACTTGACAACAAGTTTGTTCAAATGCTATCGAGGAACTGATCTCTATCTGCTTTGCCTCACACTCTAACAAATATGTTTGCTTCTCAGATGGCATTTACTTATGGGACGTGGAAAACATTGTGGCAATGGAAGTGGAGGATACTGTGCCAATCTCTTCTGATTCAGACCCAGAAAGTCAAAATCACACAAAAGGTTTTATGCCCTGCTCAAATATACCAGCTAGTGGGATTTTATCTCTTCTGAAACTCTGGGACATGACCCAAATCAAACTCTGTCTTTGTCCGGTCTTTGTTGCCAGCGCATCATCCAAATGTGTCCATTGATGATGATGATGATGATGATGACGACAAGTACAGCAGCAGTGATGACGATGACGATTGCAGCAGTAGTGATGACGATGTCATATGGACTGAGGTAAATATGTAATTGTTATTTGCAGTG